CGCCGGCCCCGCTGCCGTGACAGGGGTTGCTCCGCAGGCTTTCCCGAGCTAACGCTGCCGTGGGTTCGCTCCTGCCCGTGGGATGCAAATCCCTTTGAATTTAGACTGAAATTAAAAGGTCGATTCGCTGCCACATGCTCCTCTCTGTGCCGAAGAGGAAAAAATGGTGTTGCAGCCGATAACCGCTGTTAGAAACATGCGTCGCCATCCCACCTCCTGCTTGGATCTCGGGGTGGTTGCTGCTTCTCCAGGTCACTATGGTGTAACTTTATATTGCTTTTGGGTCTTTTCTTTTTGGAAGGGCACACCGGCTGCCTGAGACAGCACAGGGCAGTCAAAACGCAAACCTCGGCTTGCCAACCCCTGCTCACATCTAACCAGAAATATTTTTTATTAACTCCTAAATCAGGTTTGAAAATGACTTTCCCTTTCAAGCAGGGAAAGTGCAGGCTGTTTCAGTGATACATATAAACGCTTTGATTTTGACATCTCATTCGGATACCACCTGACGACACCGAAACCGAGACTTTACTGTAATAAACACTTGTACAAGTGGGACTCTATACCTGAACACACACACACCCTGTTATTTGTAGCAGGAGTTAGAGGGAATGCTCAGGCATTTTTGGAGACCATTCCCACAAGTTCAATTCAGCCTGTGTTTAGTGTGCTGTATTGTGCTCAAAGTTGTAATTAAAAATAGGAAGAATAAAATTAGGAAAGGAGGTAGACTTTCAAAGAAGAAAATTCAATCAGCAATTTTGAGAAGTGTGGGACACTTGCAACTTGAGGTTCAAAGTGTGGTGATTAAAATTAGAACTTGTAAAAATTTAAGATAACTGATTCATAACACATTGAATTATCTTAGTAAGATAAATGGCTGCTCGTTGTCAAAATGAGTTTGTATCTAAAACTGGTGCTGATAAAGAAATCTGCCATAAAATATAAGTATTTTAAAAAATGACGACCTGGTCATTTTTAACTATGGCAAGAAATGGATCTTCTCTGTTACTTAAATTTGCTTGTAGAATTTAAATTTCTCCAATGAACTGCTCAGTATGTCTGATGCTAAGAAGTGCTGAGTGCTTACGTTTTGATGCGTGTCAGGTCCGTGGCTCAATCTCTGCATGAGACCACAAAAGATGGTCGGGATGGATCCCCCAGTGAGGCCAGTGCTATTGGGGTTTACCTACCTCCTCCACAAACTAAACCTGCAGATTTTGCACTCCAAGCAAACACGTCCATACTGTCTGCGCTTATCCCCACCACTTTGGTCCAAACTGGTTTATGGCTTGGCAGTGCACTACTTCTGAATTCACACAGGCTGTTCACACCCATTTCACAAGGAGATATTTGTGAAAAATCCAGAAAACACTGCACAGAAAAACTAATCAAACATGGTCTGAGTTTCGTGGAGCTTGTCTCAGATTTCTGTGGGATCTTTGGTGTTAAAAATTCAGGAATACTTTCTGCTGACAAACTTCTTTTATCCTGTTTAAAAATGGCACTTCCTAGTTAAAGTGCACAGCCCAAGCTTGGAGGGAAAACACAGGATTATACAATATTGCTAGCGATATCACCTCTGAAACACAGATTTTGTAGCACCCTTCCTAGGATAGTCTATGAAGAAAAATAGTACGTACACTTAGATTCATGTCTCTTCAGTTAGATCTAATTCTATATAACCTCCTGCTGTAGTGACTAGTCTCATTACCTTCAATTCAGAGATACTTTCTGCCATCAGGATACATTAATTTTAGTAAGAAGAAAGTGTAGAACTGAGCCTTCTGTTTCAGGTAAGACAGGTTTATTAAGTCAAAATATATAACAATGAACAAGGTCTTGCGAGTCACCTTGTCTTCTCTTGGCTTTATCTGATTTGTAGCCCTCCAAGGGTCAGATTCTCTCTTTTCTCCCTTACATCCTTCTACACAAGAAAACTTAAAAGAGCAGAATTTTGTATAGAAAGTTGGGAGTTCCTGGTCAAAATATGAGTTTGCAGTCTAATGACTGTGTCTCTTAAAAAAAAAAAAAAAAAAAAGGGGGAAAAGCTTTTTGGAGCTAAACTTTCAATTGAAACTTTTCCCCCTAAGTTTATTACTTATCTCAACTTTATTTTATTTAATTATTTAAAAAAACCCAACAACTTGGAGAAGGGTTAAGTGTGTTCATTTTTCTGAAGAGTTTCCTTCAGCCGGAGCTAGAGAATTAAAGTTAAAAGCTAGGGAAAGGCCAAATATCACCAGAACCTGGGATAGGGAAGAATGGCAAGACTGGACAGCGAGTTACAATGTGCAAGTCTCCTAAATCCCTCATACTAAGCACTGAACAAGCTCGTCAGTTTTTAGAATGTTTCTTTACGATGTCTCTCTAGGTCAGCAACTGCAAATAATAATTAAAGTCACCGAGAAAAGTGACTAGTTCTGTGCATCAGTTACAGATTGCAGAAAACCAGTTGTCTGCCGAGGAAGCTTGGGAATTGCTGGTGCAGCAGATAGCAACTGGGCAAAGAACTGTGCTTACAAACTATGCTTATAGTATTTTGAGCACCACTTATTTCCCAAAAAGTGCAAGTCATTGTGCTGACAGCATTAATTAAAGAGTAAAAATAGCATCCCAGGGAGGCATCCCTGTTAGCACACATACACACACACACACACACACAGAGTATTTTAAGTACAACTTAACTCTTTTTTAAGATTAAAATGGCATACATAAGCCTTCTCTTAATACTTATTTTCCAGAGAAGTTAGTAGCCTAATAAATGACAAATTGAAAAGATCTTGAACTTTAAATATACTACTATGGTAACTTGGTATCAAGAGCATTAGAGCAAGGGAAAACTGCATCAGCAGGTGTCACTGCAGGCTCCAAAACCAGTGTAAATTACCAAGGAAGATTGCAATTAAACCCTTTTTTATGTTAGACATGCATTAGGTCTTGTTCTTCTCACAGGCAGCAAGAATGAGTGGAAATTTAACCGCTGTAATTTAGGATTTCAAACATCTTCCATGTGCAGGACTTGTTTGCACTGGGCGTGTAAACGGAACCATGCTCCAGTGGTGGCTTACCTGCTGCACGCCGGGGCCGACAAGGAGATCCTCACGAAGAAAGGAGAAAGGCCGGCCCAGCTAACGTCAAAGAGAGAGATAAGGAAGATGTTGGGAGGTAAACCTACTGGCTATGCGATATGATCGTCAAAGGCTGTAGTAAAAGGCTGTTCACAGCACGTGTGTGCCAATCTTCCGTGATTCTGTGATCCTTATTTTGCATATGAAGAGGCAGCGTTTGGGTTTTAGTAAGAACCGTGACTTGATTTCTAGAGTGTTAACTTAGTAAGAAATCAAGGTTTAAGAAAAGAGGATTACCAACACCTTCTATATCCAGTGAGCCAAACTTTTTTCTAAATACTGAAAAATTGGACTGTATTTTGAAAACTGCCATGATTAAACCAGTGACAGATGCAGCTTCCTATTTTCCAAAGGGCAACAGGAGAAAATCTCTCAAATTTGCCTGAAGCCCTTATATGAGCAGCACCTAATTTTCCTGATGTTCTACGGAGCTTAGGCACTCTTGAATAAATTGAAAATTAGCAGCCCAGAGAAACAGCTCATTAAAGGACATCAGTAGAGCATTTTTACCATGTTTTGTAACTGTTGGAGCAGAGTAGAGTTTGCTGCTAGAGGTTGATAAGTAATTGGAAATGTGGTCAATTAACAATCTCTTTCCTCCCTTTTGTATTCCCTTGTCTGGTTTTGTTTTCATTATTGTCTCCCAGCTGTTGAATTGGTAATGTTTCAGCTCTCCCAGTACTGCATGTTCTTTTCCCTTTATCCCCTGCCTTAATATCGAACAACATATTACCCTTTGTTTTTCATTGCCTTATACATTATGAAGACGATAGCATTATACCACCAGAGACCATGTTAGAACATGCTGGCTACGGATTAAACCGAACAAAGCCAAAAGTATTGCCGTGTTTAGAAGGAAACAGCACCACAAGAATTACTGGAATCAGACTCTGCTTTTCTGTTTGCTGTATTGCAACACTTGAGCACGGTTCTGTTTACTGTAGAAAAAAGGTGTAGTGCTTCTCGATTCATCATTTATCCTCTGATGCTATTAACAGTCCACTCCCTCCCCATTAAAAAAAAAAAAAAAGAGGGAAAAAAAAGAGGAAAAAAAAAAAGAAAAAAAGGGGAAAAAAGGGAAAAACCAAGAAGCCCCACAGTGCAATAGCAATACTTCTTTTTTTCCCCTTAAATCAGTCTTGGAGAATGTTGTTTTGTTTGTTTTACAGTGGAAGATGATGAACTCCCAGACTTAAAGGAAGATTCAGATCTGCCAATCATCCCTAATTATCTGGCTAACCCGCCTTTCCCTTACGTTTATAACACCATGAGTGACAGCATTCCAGATCCCCCCGTGAACGGGAGTATCTCACACTTAGAATCGCAAGATACCGACTCTTCTTCCTTACCTGATGGGGAGACTTGCACGCGCGCATCATCGCAGCGTGGGAGCGCGGCTCCCGCGGCGGCTGGTGACAGAGGCACACCCTCACTGCCCAGAGGGTGCGCTGCGCCGTGCCGCTCCAAACCCCTCCTGCAGAAAGGTCCGGTTTACCAGGGCTCTGTGTCTTGGGGCAGAAGCCCCCCTTCGCCAGCTGGATCAAATCAGTCCGTACCTCAGCAAGAGAACGGCTCCTGTGTGGGGCCTGTGCCAGCGTTTCAGCCGGTTTTCTTCACAGGAGCTTTTCCACTTAATATGCAAGGTAACAGTAAAAGTCTCTTCTCACTTTGTCTTAGAACTTCTGTCATTTTGGACAGTGAAAACAGACCCATGAGGGCTACCTGTATTCACAGCACTTCCAGAGATTTTCAGGTCCCTGAGCTTAAGCATCAGGAAACATTTGAAGGGAATTAGAGGCAGATAGCCTGTTTCTGCTGGAACTGTTATTAAAATATTGATGAAAACATTTGCTATTTGTCTCAAATGCTATAAAAGCATGCAGACACCAGGGTAATCTAATTCTCTAAATAGCATACTCCAAGCTTGGAATAAAGAATGTGAGGACGCAGCCAGTGAGCTCCAGAGAGAACCTCACGGGGCTCAATCTGCCGACCCGAGCCTGAGGTTAGCTGCTGCATGGGCTGCCATTTCTGTAGGTGAATATTGCCTGCCCAAAGGGGGAACTCTGCCATTGCCAGTTCAGTTCAGAATTCAATTCTTCAAATCAAAGCTGTTCTGATGCCGTGAATTAGCAAGGAGAAGTTAAAAGAAGTCATTTGAATCCTAGTGCCTGATGGCCAAAAGAATTAAAAACTAATAAAAGCAATCTTGGATTGCTCAGGAAATTGCTAACCAGTATAATCTTCTGTTTCTAAGTTAGCTTAAATCCAGTAAGATGGGTATTCATGCAAAGAATCGTACCTGTTTATACACATACTGCATTAGATTTGTGATGATTTTTTCATATAGGTTGATGAAAGCCAATCTAATGAAAACCGTGGTCATACAATTCCAGTCGTTTGTTTGTTACAAATGATACAAACACGGCTAACAGAACATAGAAATATTTGGAAGTTAGTATAGAGGTATCTTGTCTAATTCCTTTATGCATCTGCCTATTAATGTACCTTTTTATTTCTAATAGAACTGGTGCTTAAAGTTAGAATACAAAACCCTAATCTCAGAGAAAATGACTTCATTGAAATTGAACTGGACAGACAAGAACTGACCTATAAGGAACTGCTCCGAGTGAGTTGCCGTGAGCTGGGTGTTAACCCAGAGCATGTACAGAAGATCAGAAAATTACCAAATACAATGTTAAGAAAGGTAAGAACTCTGAATTTTGAAGCGCAGTAACTTATAAAAAAGATTTTTAGGTTACCATTAAAAAGGAGTAATTTGTTGGTCACCTGCATAGGCCCATGTTGCAAAAAAACCCCAAACTAAAACCCCCCAAACCCTGCCAAAAACCTTGCTTCAATTTTCAGCACTCGGCAGTTGTTGGGTTTTAATAGAAAGGTTCTCAAGTTTCTTGATAATTTCCTTTCATAAACATTTGGCGTTGAGGCCAATTAATATCTGATTTCTCTACTACATTCTTAAATTCAGCGCAATACGGCACCACTGTGACCACATCAGCATTAACAGGCCTGCAGTGCTCAGCTGGTGTTTGCTGCTTCAGCAAGGACTGTACGTGGTCCTTTCGAAAAACAGGCAGCTTGGAATTATTCTGAGCGCAGGTCTCCCGAGTGTCACCGTCTTTCCACTGCAGTGACACTTACCTGTGCAGCAAACAGAAACGGACCTGCTGACCTGTTTTACCAATTCACCGCTGACCTTTCTTTCACTCTCAAGTCCCTCTAGAGCATGGTTGGCGTCAGCCGTGGAGCTAATCTGATTAGCACTAGGTTGATAAACTTCACTGTGCTGCATCTTCACTGGCTGTAAGGTGGCTTAGTCTTTGTTAGTCAAGAAGTGTGTGTGGGGGGGGAAGACATCAGCAATTCTGTCACTTGCCCATGTTGGGTGTTGTCAAAAGGACTGGTTTTATTTCCAGCTCTAATTACTTCAGGCTCTCTGGGTAGGACTGCAGGACACTTACTGTTCCTCGAGGTGATACAACGCTAATTCTGTTCAATGCTGTTGAGCAGCGGAGTGCTGCTGCCGAGGGGCCGGGGCTTGAGCCGGCACTGCGGGCGCGTGTCTTCCACTGCTCGCTGTCAGTGGCCGCTTGAGGAAGCTGCCTGCAGGACCTTCTTGGGTAGAGGCAAGCATCAATTGACAAGCTTCAAAGAATTAGCAAGGGGGGAAGAAAGAGGAGCTGGGGGTGGAGCACAGTGGATCATTACAAGTGTAATCGCACTAACCGCTTGCACTCACCGTCAGTATTGCATGCCTTCTAAAAATAGACTGAAGCGAGGAGCTGAATAGGATCCCAGAATAAATATAAGATGCAACAGGATGTCTGCTTTCCAGTTTACTGTAAAGAATCGCCCTATTTATGGATAAATACATAACTTTTGTTAGTATGAGCCTATTATTTTAACTTACCTCTGCAAAATTGAACAGATGATTTATCACCTAACAACTTATTGTATTTATTTAAAGGACAAAGATGTTGCAAGGCTACAGGATTTCCAAGAACTGGAGATTGTTCTAACAGTAAGCGACAAAAACTTACTTTTCAGAGTCCCAGCACTTTCTGAACGGAGTGGTTATAACAAGAAGGCATCAGAACTGACATACTAATTGTTTAAAGAATAAAACAAAAGATTTGTAGCTCTCATTTTAAAATTACATTTGAAATACAGTATCTATAAGGGCTAATGATGTGAAAAAAAATCTATTTTATTAACCTTGAAGTAAACTAAAGATGTTGCGCACAGTTACAGCCTCTAGTTAATCTACGAGTAATGAGTCTGATACGAAAGTAGCTTAATGCAAAGGAAGTATTGGTAGAACTATCTGTTAATGCAACACGTTTCCTTACAGAAATCTTGAAATACTGTAGAGTTAGCAGCTCTCAGGGAAAGGCTTACCTTAAACTGTTCTAATAATTTGTTTGCTATAAAATAGCAGAGGTACTCAAGCTAAAGGACCTGCCATGAACCCATTTAATATTTGTGCTGAGTCCATTACCATTAACGTTCACTTTTTAGATCATATATTTTAAGTCATATCTTACTTAGAAGGAAAAAACCAGAAGGGTTTAAATCTGTGGAAGAAGCACAAAACTATGTCTAGTTTAAATACTATCAAGTGACTTATTACCTGTGATTTCTTAATCCCTGTTTACACTTCTCCCTATTTCTCAGGTTGAAAACAAAAAATGATAGTAATTATCCAAATCATAAATATGCTCTCAACCAAAAGCCCTTTTATTGTTGTCTGTCAATATATAGCATTGGCATGTGCAATTTAAAGTACTATTTTTGTTACTGTATTGAAAACACATTTCTCCAATGCTGCTTTAATTTCCCCTTTTAAAAGCACAAAAATTGTAATTTTATTTTCCTTTTACCTCTACATTCCTGAGAAAGATCGTGTCTTGAAACTTCAAAGTTGCCTGTGTAAAAAAGAAACTAGTGAAATGCCCACCGTTTTTCTGGGCTGATACTAAATCTTGATGTTCCTATGCAATGTATTTTGTTTTTCTCCACTGACTTGTGTTTACTCGCATTGCTTACTGGAAAAAAAAAAAAAAAAATATACCACTTTTCCTGTTCCTCCTGTGACTTAAAATTCAGAATTAGACTACTTTGCTACGGAATTCTGGAATAAATAAATTGAAAAGTATTTAAGAGCTGGATTTTATCTAATTTTTTAGGAGTTTAGTATTTACTCAGTCATCTGCATTTGAGGAAGGGTTTATTCTGGTAGCCTAACTGTAAAATATGCAGTATGAATTAGATGAACGAACTAAAGTACGAGATGCAACAGGCAAACAGAACGTACCAAACTGGACTGAATTTCCCACTTTGTCTTCCCCCTCCCTCCCCACACCCCCCAGTTTCTTTGGAAACTAGAGCAACCAAAGTATTTTATGGTCTTGCTGTCTCAGAATTTACAGCACAAGTTAGCTGTATGTTGTTTGGGGATCTGTAAACAGGATTTACAGCAGTAGCACGTTGCACAGGGAGCCACCTGAAGTCACTGGAGGAAATGCTGGGGAAAGAACTGCAGCGTAAGCTCTTATCGCTCTGGGTGGCTTTAGGTGCCCACCACAGCCTTCTCTCCTCTCTTGGAGGCTGTGGCCGGGGTACTGAAGTTCGTTTTTCCCCTGCAGTCAGAGCAGTCACCTCCATCCGGGCTAATCCGATAGGAACTGGTACCCGAGTTTACCCACGCTCTCTCATCCAGTGAATAGTAAATAAGGAGGAGCCCTCTCCCCCAGTTTGCCTTGTAGTCGGATGTCCAGTGGTCACCTGGAAGCACAGACCCATGCAAACACAGGAATTCCCCGTGTGCCAATTAACTAGGCTGAAGCTCAGCCTCCTAAGGCTAACAGTAGAACATTGTGTCACAACAAAACCCCTTCTTCTGAAAAGTGCTGGAGGTTAAACGTGGCCCGAGTCATTGGCAGTATCTATTTTCTTATACCAAAATTGCTGGTGGTGCATTAACTTCTGCATAGTGGAAGAACAGAATTGTTGTTCCTCGTATCGCGCTTTGCCTGTTGTGTTCTCCTGGGCACACAGAGCAGGCAGGGCTTAGGCGTCGGCTGTCTAAGCACCAGCTAAATCCATGAAGGTACCAGGATTAAGCAGCCAGACCTACCAGAGACGAGCTCTGCTGTTGGGTTGATGACTTTGTTGTTACACTGATTGTCTTGCACGGGTGCTGATCGCTATCTATGCATTCAGAGGAATATTTTTATACCTTACGCAGTTTATACGTAGAAGATGCTATTAACCCTCCTAACAATCTGATCAGCGTATAATCATGACATTACTGTGTGTGATAAATAATGCATTACTTTGTGCTCCGCTATATGAAAAGTTACTGTCAAATGAATGCTTGGCTGCAGCTTCTTGTTTCTATTTAAGAAGTATTATTTGTAAGAATTAATAAATTATTATTTTTGTCTTCTCAAAGTTTTTCTGAACTTTACTTATGGAAAACCATAGGAACTTTTTCTTGCCGGGTAGGTTTCTAGAGGGCTTGGTGGAAGAAGTTAACAACTAAAGCAAAAGACATTTTATCAGATTCCTGCAGCAAATTTTGTTCAAACGCAGTACTCCATTTATCTGAGGAGGCTTGGCTATCAATAATAAGGTAGATATTAATTTCTGCAAAAGAAATCATATACTATTTCAGGTGATTAAGTATTGAAAGAGATAAATTATATACACATCTGCTCAGCATGCGTGTTCAGCTTCAGTGGAGGCTTCCTCGGGGTGACTTCACGCGCAAAAGAGAGAGATGGCAACATTAGAATACCGCTGTGCCAGCCACGTCCCTGCAGGCTTATGTGGAGTCTACTAAATTGGCAGAAATCATGTTGTTAATGATTTATATTAAGCCATCTGTAGGTTTAGTTTTAAACACACGTTACTTGTAATTCTTACGCTGAAGAGGAATTTTATAATGCTGAAGTTGCCCTGGGCAGGGATAGCTCACAGCCTTGAAGCTGTAGCAATTCAACTCCCCTGTCCTGGGGGAAATACGGAAAGGAACAGGTTGGAACCACTTGGAGGTTACACATTATTTCACTATTTTTCACTGCTTAACTGGGACTGCCTTTCCACTTCAAAAACAATGAATCCTTATGCAGAAAACACACAAAACAGGTGTATTTTGTACCATTAATTTAATTTACTAATTGTAAGCCTGAATACAGTACATATTGCCCTGTGATACAAACATTTTCTTGGCAGAGTTTTTGGCATTCTTTGGGAGAAAAGCATATAGTGAAATATTTTATATAGAAAATATTTAAAAATATAAAATTCACTTTCCGGTCCTTGGAATTGTAAAATACTTTGTTCACATATCACAAGTTCAGTCTACTACAAAAACTGTTCTGTAAATTACAGTACATTCACAAGTCACTTTTGTGGCAGGTCAGTAATGTTAAAAAAACAAAACAAAACAAAAAAACCAAACCCAAACCAAAAACCCAAGGGGTCGTCTCTTCACGCTAGTCCCGCGTCTTTGGCCATACTGTAGAAAATACCCTTTGATGCTATAAGGCTTGCAGGTGTATCGAATTCAGCTATGGTTCCGTTGTCTAGGACAAGAACCCTGCGCAAAACAAAATGGGGGGGGAGAGAGAGAGGTCAGAGAATTCCTCACAGGAAACGTGATATCCCTATTTATCACAAAGCAAACTGCCCTCATCTTTGCCTTGCCTTTGTTTTGCTCACTTTCACACATTGAATCACAACAGATGATAAACATCCGCCCTGAGCTGCTGTTTGATTTAAAAAGGTACGGGACAGTCACTATCTCCCAGGGGTAGCGGGGGGACCGTCATACTGGTGGTTCTGGAATTGAAAATATAGTACCAGAAAGCCAAGGAAATAAAAGCTCATGAAGTACCGTAATATATTTTAAAGTAATTAATATGACATGATGTTAGTGAACAAGTTCCAGCAGCTGCTCGTTTAATGAGGATCTCTAAGCTTGCTGACATTGCCTTTATGCAACTGGGTAGTATCTCCCATGCAGCCCTGGATAGTGAATAGAGAACCTGTTTCTTACGCCAACAGAGGCAAAGTCAGGTCTGGCCATTCTAGGATTATACGGATTAAACATCGTCGCTTACACACTACCTGACAAGAGCATCAGCGTGGCTATCTAGAGACAAACTAGACCCTTCTAAGCGCTGCTTCACGTGCCCAGTAAACCGGTGAGCCCCCCTGCCACACCACCATTAAGAGATTTTTACCTCGTGTAATCCATAATTGTGTTCAGCCTGTGTGCTATTGTCAGCACCGTGCAGTCTTCAAACTGGGTCCTAATCGTCGCCTGGATAAGATCATCCGTCTCGAGATCGATAGCTGCTGTCGCTTCGTCTAGGATCAAGATTCTTGTCTTGCGAAGCAGCGCTCTCGCCAGACAGACGAGCTGCCTTTGGCCGACGCTGCAAGCAGAGACAGGGCTTTCAAAAAGGGGGCCCCACTGCCCTTGGCTCTCCACTCCTCAGAATCTCTTGTGCTAGAGCGGATTTCTCATCAGGTAAAGTTACCGAACAAAAAAGAAGTGGTATTTAGCAAACAGCCCAGTCTGCCCACCCTAGAGCTCATAAATACACATGGCAGCATTACTCAGGTAGCTGCAGCATATGTGTTCGCTTGTACAGTACTGGACAGAGCCACCAAATGCCCTCACTGTGACAAAAGCCAGGGGAACTAATGATTGCAGCGCTTCTGCCCGAGTTTTCAGAAACACACACAGTTGCAACAATACTGAGCATATGCAAACTTTAAAAAAAAAAAAGGAAGAAAAAGAAAAAAGAAAAATCTGAGGCTGTAAGTCCTTTCTACGGTCAAAAAAACGTATCTGGGCAGCCCCCACCTCCTCCCCTGCCACAACAGCACCCCAGACACAGCCCCTGACTCTGCAGGATGAGGAAGGAGCTGAACGTTCATCACACATGTAATCTGGTTACACCACAGCCTTGGAAGCCAATGCAGGACATCAAAGCATGGCATTTTATCATGCTCATTCAGGTCTTCATGGGTCTTCCAAATGAGAATGGAAAATAAACATTGCTAAAGTGTCGGTTTAGGCAGAGGACTCTTATTCAGCACAGCAGCTATATACATTATGATGGCATTTCCCTTCCTACCAAACCATGTTTAGGGAATTGGCTGTTCTGAATACCCTGTCATCCTGAGACTTCTTTCTTTACTGGTAAGACTGGATTTTGGTTTAGGAGAAATCCTTCCCAGCAGCAAAGAAGAATCATAGAATCATAGAATGTTTTGGGTTGGAAGGGACCCCTAGAGGTCATCTAGTCCAACCCCCCCGCAGGAGCAGGGACACCGCTAACTAGATCAGGCTGCTCAGAGCCCCGTCCAACCTGGCCTTGAATGTTTCCAGGGATGGGGCCTCCACTACTAGAATCAGATCATTCGTGGCAGAGGCAGAACAGGAGGCAAATGTTTGAGCTTTAGTGGTTTTCTTGGAACAGGAATAGGTGGCTAAATCATTTCAGACACAACAGACTACAGCGTAAACCTGCGCTCGAGTGTCTCACTGTTACAGCTGAGTGAAAGCGCAGTGTATGTTTCTAGTCCAAGCATTCCTTACCTAAGATTTTCTCCACCTTCTGAGCATTCATAGTCCAACATGGATGGCTGACTGCTGACAAACCTCTTCAAATGAGACAACTCAAGAGCTTTCCATATTTCTTCATCAGTGTATTTATTAAATGGATCCAGGTTCATCCTCAGTGTTCCAGAAAAGAGAACAGGATCCTGGATATAAAACCAACTTTCATTAGACAAGTGCTTTAGCTGGTTTAAGTACAGATATTATGAGTTACTGCTTTGAAGTCTCCATTGCATTGCAGGTAGGCCACCCACCAATCCCATCCACTCTGAAAATACATTATGTTAGACACACTTAAAACTCAAGTTCCAACTGTAACGATGGTTTATCCTAAATCCTGTTTTATCATCCAGCACCACCTTATAAGGTGGCAGGACAGGACCACTTAAATTATAAATTGTTTGGTTTTCTGAAACAATTTTCTGAGTGTAACAAAGCATTTTCCTCTGTGGATAAACCATTATTTATGGTTTGCTAAGCTGTTAAAGATCCTTCCTTTATTGTGACACACAGAAACAGTACCTGAGGAATAATAGTTAGCCTCGATCGAAGGTCATGGAGACCAATCTCTGAAATTTTCACACCATCAATTTTAATTTCCCCTTTTACAGCTTCCAAGATCCTAAAGAGACAGAGCGTCATGGAGGACTTTCCTGCTCCGGTTCTGCCAACAATTCCAATCTACAACAAATTGCACGGTTAACAACAAAGCATATAGTTAAAACCAAACCAAAACCCAAGGAAAAAAAAAAAAAAAAACCAAACAAACCACCAAGATTCCTCTAAGGGTCTTACACAAGATTTGAATTTCAATAAGAATCCTTCCCTAGAAACCCGTGTCATACACTGTAACGCATATATTGCTATTCCCGTAATTTGAATGATATTGCATATAAATATATACATAGGCCTAGAGCCATCCTACATAACTTTGGGTGATTAGCTGAAGCACCCACTTTAGGAGTCCAGTCACCCAAGGACAAGAAATAAAGGCTTTCCAGAGGGCAATTCAGACTTTACAGTAAGCACGTCTACCTCCATTCCAGAAGGCGGCTGTCATCCTGTCTGCTTAGTATAAGGATAATTCTCTTCCCTTTTAATAACAGCCTGTTAAGCGGAGGACTTTCCCATGCTAATTGTTTTGTCACCAGCATGCAAAACTCAACTTTCTATTGAAGCATGAAGAAATGAATCTCTCGGAACAAAGACAATTTCCTGATTAAGGAAGCAAAGAATGTCACTTCCTGCCATGCCAAAAATTTCACAGGGAAAGCCAGAGAGCAGAAAAAGCTGGAATTCCTTCTCCCATCTGCACTGCATCAGAAAAGCGTTCTTGTCATTGAATTTTTGTCACTTGTACTGGTTCCTCCTACGTACTAGGCCTGTTGCCAGCCTAACTTGGAAAGTCCAGAAAGTCCCATGCAAGTGGTCCTACTGCTTCCAGCCTGGAGGGTGCTGCCACACCAACAGCACGGTTGTCACTGCTGGCTGTCAATGCCAGCTTGAGTAGGTCTCCACCACTGGGGCAAGTGTGCTTGTAAACTCTTGTCCTCTGCTCAATGGCTGTCACTGGAGGCCCAGAGCGAAGTTCTAGCGAAGACATAGAGCTGAAACTCACCTTTTCTCCACCGTGCACTTTGAGGTTTAGACCCTTCAGCACTAGATCCAGGCCCTTCCTGTACCTCACTGAGTAATTCACAAACTCCAGCTCTCCCCTGGATGGCCAGTCTTCTGGGGGACTCTTGCCCTCAATGACCCAGGGAGCCTAAGTAAAACAGAAGTCAGAAATGCCTCATATAGGTTCAAGAAAAAATAATTCAAACTAAGATACAAACAATAACGTTTGTGGGTTACTAGATATATATCTGATAAATCAAATCTCCATTATCAAATAAATTTATAATAATGGGGGAAAACCCCATGGGTTCCTAAGAATCCACTCATTGTAGTCTTTGTTGTGAAGTTTACAGGAAAAGAAGTCTGAGCGCATAGGGCCAAATCCTCAGTGGATATAAATTTACATTTTTTCCATTAACTTCAGTAGAACGCTGCCTGTTCCACGCCAGCTCAAGCTCTGGCTTGTAACATGTATCAGGCATCTCGTCTAGCTTCCTTTTAGCATCCAGATTAAATACTTGATCTCCAGAATCGTACACTGCAGCTCTCCTCAGATCCTCCATTTCCTAATTCTTAGTCTCCCATCACATACTAACAAAAACTGCATTAGTTACTAACTAACTCCCATCATGGCTAACAAAACCCAGTACGTCCACAGAGCAGCAGATTTCCCAGCATAGCTCCACCTGTCACCTTTAAAAAAAGTCTCTGGCAACAAAGGTAGATGATTGGATGATTTTCCTGGCTTAGGCAGTACAGTGTTCCTAGAGATGTTCTCCTCTCATGGGAGACGAGGACTGATTAAGCTGATTAAATAGAAATACTATTGAAAACTGGTGCATAGCCTGATAATTGTACTGCAGCTGTGCTCACTAGCAGGATCACAGCACCATCCATGCAGGTAGGACTATGCATCCAACACTTCAAGCCCAATGGGAGCAACATTCTGATGGTGAAACTCGTCTCTGTTGTGCTACAGCCACTCACAGTAGCAGAAAATGAGATGCTAAGCACAGGCTGCATAACAGCAGCAATAATTTGGAGCTGTGATAGCATAAATTACAGTTCAGAGCGTGACATTTGTTCAGGTTAAATGATAACACTCTCAGAGCAGGAACTGTCTCTCAAGAGTCTAAAGAAAGACCATGTAAATGTGTGCATTATAATTTTGCCACGCTTGTTGGTGAGCATGCTTGATGCTTGGTAGCTGACCTCTGTTTCAGTTTCTGAATATTCTTTTATTCTTTCAACAGCCACAATGTTAGTTTCAAGTTCAGAAGTCATTCGGACCATCCAATTCAGAGACAAGGTCACCTTGGAGAAGACAAGGAACAAAATATCATCCACAGAGGAACGACAGATTTAATAATAGTAACAACAAAACCAGACACTGCCATTAAGACATGGATTCACATTAATATTACAAATGGAATAATTACCGTTGCATTGACACTAATACAGTTACTGGGACAAGAAGTCTACTGACAACCAGGTGCTCATGTGAAAAAGTATATGCCTCCCACAGTGTTTTAACAGATGGACCTCTCGAAAATATTGGTTGGAGGTCATTCCCCTAGTCATGGGTCTCACCGGAAAATTGCTAACAACAATCCTGTGCGCTCACAGTATCTAAAAAGCTTCTGGCAAGAGTGAGGCCATTAAATCTGCTAAACTGTCCACAGCTTGGGTGAGTACAGTTTACCTTGTCTATTTACGCATCCTACTGATCTGCCTGTGATTACCTGGACACACCAATGTGCTACATAGCAGGCGTGATGCAGGACATGCTACGCCCATGCTGCTCAAATGATCTGTTCTTGGTGGGTGCGCCTGACGCTTCCTGAGCTTCCTGCATGCTGGGGATACTGGGGTGCAGCACAACCTTGATGCTCCCAAAGTGCCCTGAAGCCCTACTGCATGTGAGCTTGCTGATGGTCTGTCAGCATTCAGTGTAAATCTCTGCTGTTTCCACATGTCCTACAACTCATTTTTGTTATTTCTTTATTAACTTCAGCCTCAACAAGCACTTAAATTATTGCTACAATAACCATACCATCTACAAAAATGCAAACCCATCAACGAGCAGAAAGCTGTAATACATACCTGTAACGCATAAGATACTGAAAGTCCTACCAAGCCAGCATTCAGGCTGTTTTTACCAATCACAGCAAAAAGGGCAGCAAAAAGGACAACACAATTCCCCACAAATTCAACTCGAACGCCCAGCCACCTGGTAAAAAAGGTAGATGTAAGCAGAGTGGGAAATGGTTGCTTGGACCAGTTAGGCAAACACAGGGTTATCTAAGTGGAAACAAGAAGTTAGGCAAACACAGGGTTATCTAAGTGGAAACAAGAAGTTATATGCCTTTTTACCTGTTTGATACTATGCCAGGATAGTAACTCTTCTGATTTTCATCCATCTTCAGATCACTGATGTCTACAAAAGACTTCACTCTTCTGTAGGCTCTGATGACACTGGCCCCTGATACTGTTTCTGAGAAGTGTGAGTAGATGGGAGATCTGCTCACAGACTCCAGGCGCTTCAGCTGGCGGGAGGTAGCTACGTAGAATCGCTGCCGGTTTTTGGAGAAAATTGAAGGGTACATAAAATACTTTCTCTTTTAATTAACAGTGAAGAATTTTTTAGGTTAAAGATTTCAAGGAGATTGCTACTGATGCACTTCAACCCTCCAAAATATTCTCTATGATTAAAAATTTCAAGAAAGTTATCTTTGCTTCATTCCACAACTCAATACTGGGTAACGGCAAGTTGAATTTAGCTATGCCCCTTTAAATTTAGCTAATGCAGCCTAACAAAATGAATCCATTTTTAGGAGCCTCATTTTCCAAGAAAATAACACATGAATTTGCACCTCCATTACCAGGTCTCTATTTATGGTCTATAAAATAAGCTTCATTTTGGCTCAGAAGTCAATAAAACTGATGTGTTCTATTCTCAACATTTTAACTCCTCACCACCTTAAGAACTTGTCAATATGTCAAATATATACAAACTTCAATATACTGAAGTGCACTGCAGCTCTATCTCCAGCAGTAGGCTTATTTATTATTACTCAAAAGCAAAAAAAGGTTACGCCTATTTATTTCATGAGCACATCTCACAGGACATTTCTTTTTCTGAGATAAGTAAATAATATTTTGTTTACAGAAACATGTAGTTACTTCACATGTTTCAATTTTCCCCCAAATTCACGTTGTTTTTTCCTAAAAAGAAACACGATCAATGGAATTGAATCACTGCAGTGGCAGTCAGATATTTTTCCAGTTACCTGAACAAAGAAGTACAGAATTGCAAGTGGAACTATAACCACAGCGAAGAGTGGAGTACTTGCTATAATTACAATCATCGTCGATAAAGAGGTGAAGAACGTTCCGAGGAACATCAAGATAGTCGGCGGGATTACTTCATCAATCACGTAGATGTCCTTCGAAAAGCGGTTGATGATTCGGCCGGTTGGGGTGGTGTCATAGAAGGACTGCGGGGTGTGAAATTTGTTCTCCAGCAGAGCAGCGTGGAGTGTCCGGGCTGCATTAATGCCTCCCATGGCCAAGGTAAAGGAGCAGATGAGTACTATGAGGCCTAACAGGCAAAGAGAAGACATGTTAACCAGTGAACGTGATGTTCCTGATTCGCAGCCCTTTGACTCTCAGCAGTTTCTGTTGTGCTAGAAGCTTTTTTTCCTTTACTGCATTCCCTGTCCACCCTTCTCTTAGCATGCACATTAGCACTGCAGCATTGTGGTCACTGCTGCCTAAGGCACAGGAATACCTCCTGTACAATTTCACCATGCTGTCCGCATAAGACAGATGCACAACCATCTTCCCTCTGCTTTCCACAAGCCTCCATGAAGTTCTAATGCTACAACTTCAATCCAACCCTTCAGTCTCTTCTGCACCTAAGTTTTCATGTTTCTCCCCAACCTACCTCTCTCAAGCTTCCTTGTCACCGGTTCATCCCCCTCCAAGGGCTTCACAATAAAATTAAAAGTGTTGGGCTGAGCTCAGACTTTGTAGCTCCGGGTTATGTTACTTCCCTTGCTTAGGATAGAATTTGGGGGGCAATTTTGGGCCACCAGCAGCTGGTGCTATGGCTTTCCCATTTAAGCCCTCTATACTAAACATTAAGACATCATGATTTTATCTAGTCTCACCTTGCAAGAGGCCCAAGGCAGCGTAGACTCCAATTCGCATGGCTGTGTTGTGCTGAGTCCCATTTATCACCGGCTCGTTGGTCCAGTCACTGAGCCACACATTGGCCCCAATGGCAGCAGCATTTTGACAGCAATATAGGAAACATATCACTAAAGAAAGGACAGGGCTAACAGCCTTCATGTATTGCCAGAACACCGTTAGCTTTACCTGAAAAATCACACACCAAAGCTGGTTTGCACAACTTACACAATCAGGAGTTTAGACAGAAGAAGAGAAAAAAAAAAAAACTCTTCAACAGTGGAACTGCTAAGTTCAAAACTGCCCAAACTCTAACATGCCACAGAGAACAGTTCATCTGCCTGAGCTCCACATCAGAGCGATGGCTTTCAAAACAAGTCAGAAACTTCTCTGAAATACACTTATTCCTCCATTTTAAGGAACTGTATTTTATTGGGTTTGTGGGGTTTTAGTTTTTAAGACTATGCCAGAGCAGGGGGCGGGGGGTGGTGTGAAGAAAAGAGGCTGATCAAATAGCAGCAAAGGACGGGTTACAAGAACAGGAGCAAAGTTTTTCAGGTAAAAGAAGCAATTTGGCAGGCATATCGAGCTCAGAACTGCTTTAAATGGCCTATTTAAGGAAAAGTGCTGAATATGCCTCCATTCGGGTGTTTTACAGCAGCTTAAATGAGGTACCCAATGCTAGTGCACCCCAGCAGGAACATAAACAGATGATGGTTGTGGCAAAAAGTAAAGATGCTATCTCTAAGGTAGTGCAAAAAGGCAGAGAAGCAAAAAGAGACACTCAGGACAAAACTCAGTCTCCAAAAAGCATAAGAAGGAATAATTAAGAGAACGAGTGTTGTTGATTAGGGACTTTGAAAGCTAAAATAATCCACAGAAACAGTTAATCACATGTCTGTGCCACGGACCACATACATCAGACGAAACAGGACACACTAAGCCCTCTGAAGCAGAGGGAAGGGCCTTTCTTTAACAAAACCTCCCTGCTCCTATTCCATCCACTGCTCCTTTCTGTGCCTTTCTCTTACTTTTAAATTCCCATCTTCTCTTTTTTTCCTTCTCTTCTCTTTTTCCCTGTTCCCATTTCACTCCCTGGCCCTGCCCAAGGAGAGTACAGCTCCTTTGTAGCTGTAAGTCCAAAATGCTCTCGAAGATGGGGTGGTGGGTATCACTTCGACAGCACAGATCTGCTGGCACGCAGCAGCCAGCTGGCAGCTGGCTCCTATAACCCACTGCTGCGGTTCATCAAACAGCCAGCGCTGCAGCTGGACTCAACACCGGCCAAACAGTTTAAAGACCAACAGTGCTGAAAGCTCTGCAATGCAAAGGCAGGGCTGACGGAGCGCAGTGCTGCGTGGTATCAGGTGACTGTGGCAGATCGCCCTTGCCAGGTGCAGAAAGCTCTGCCAAAATCCCAAATTTGAATGGCCACCAGATTAAATGCCTAAAACCTGAAGTCATAATTTATACAACATATTTAACAGAACTGGATCAAATATAAAAATAAAGATTATTTTTTCAAGCAGAAAAAAAAAGTAGAAAAAGGGAGTGGGGAAATCAAACCATACCGTTCCTGTTTCAGTGGTTTCAGCCTGAATAAGTTTCTCGTTCGGATTTTTTCTTGGCAGAGGAGGCTCTGCTGGCTTCTTTTCACAGACTCTTCGTTTCGTTGACATTTTGTTGGGACATTCTCCTCCCTCAGAAGATATTACACTAAGTTGCCTAGTCAAAACAAGAGAGTCATTAGGAGAAAAAGGGCATATTGTGGCAGTGCTAAGGCAAGACTGGGTTGCAGCAGATTGGACTTGTTCCCAGCTCTTCTGCTGAGTTCCCATGCCAGCCTCACTCACAGCTATGGGTTCTTGTACCACCCCTCCAAATGTTCAGTGATGCCAGAAATACAGTTTCTAACAAAGGCTGTGGCAGGGCCTGGGCTCTGTGGATGAGGCCTTTAGAGGCTTCATCGCAAGGCAGACATTTCAAAGTGAGCCCCTGAGCTTCTCTGTTTTCACATCAACAGTAGCTGGGCAGTATCTATGGGCATGGTTATGAAAATTCCTAAAGATTTCCAAGATTCCCAATGCAAAGGTGCAATGGAAAGGGTTTATTTATCCTGCAACATGTAGCAGTTTAGTGTTGTGGGGGTAAATGCATACAGTGGTGCTACCTGAGAACCAGAGAGCTGCTTTAAGAAATTGGTTTAGTTCGGATTAAAAAGAGGATTGCAGGAATAGAATTTTGATCTTCTTTTGCATGTTCTTTCACATTTATTCTCAAAAGGACACTAAACCAACTTCTTTATAAGAGAAAACCAAAGAAACTGAAGCCCAGACCGAGAAGCAGTATGTGACTAATATCTTTCAGATGTGTTTCACCCCAGACACAGACCATAAACACATGAACCTCATGTTTACCTAAGAAACTGTTTGCGGACCTCATTTGTCACTGGTTCGTTATCTGCCAGATCTGTGTGGATGCTGAGGGTGTCTTCAGCTAGCAGGACTTCTTCCTCCTCCAGCACTGCAAGACAAGATCACGCCTCAGATTTTCTGCTGAACAAAGCAGAAAGCACAGAAATAGGTGGCTATACAAAGCAAGAGTCACGAAAAACAATACCATAGCAAGGAAATCATAGTGCATGAACTCCCCCATAGCTTTGCTTATGTCCCTTCTGTGCATCACTTCTCCTAACTAAATTGCAAAGACTTTGTGAGGCAGGTTGGCTGCCAAATGCATTTACATCACATTCCTTTAGTGGATCAGAAATATTAAGCAATAGCGTTACAGTTGGTTCTAGTTAAATTCACTTATAGGGCATGGTCTAGACATCCTCTTGGGATGAGGGAGTCACATCAGGAACTACTGCAAGCCTCTGCTGTTGCTAGATGTCATGAATGTTCCTCTCTCCGTGTCTGGAGAGAAGCAATGCTGCAATCAAAGAGCGTGGGAATACTGTCACACAGAGGAAACATTAACCAAAATGCTTTAATCTTGTATCATTTTATCAGAATCAAACCAAGCTGAAAAGTAACCCAAGATTAAAATGTCGTCTGAACTTTGCTGTATGAAAAAAACCAACAACATGCAAACAGAGAAAAAATTACCAGGTTCTGGATAGCCCCTCTGATAGCAAGCCCAGTTTGTTCTTGGCTACTCCATTTTCCTGCCGAGTTTGACCTTGCTAATTGTAAAATAAATTCCCAGCTTTAAAATAATTTCTAACACAATAATTGCTTTTTTTCTAGGACAAGCCACATGAAATTTTGAAGAAATTTGCGAAAACCTTTATCAATAATATAGACCTGGCCATAGACAATAATTTTCATGGTAGTGCAGAACGGCAAATGCCAGGTTGTCATGAAGAAGCAGGGGACGCTTCATACAGAGAAAATATCTGTAATCTGACTGACAGAAAAAGACATGTTTTAAGAAAAAGCAATACTATACTTGTTGGTTCGTCCTCTTCAATGTCTTCATCGAGTGCATAATTTCGCAGGAATTCTGCAAAGGCCTTGTTTTGTTTCAGAAGGTCTTGGTAAGATCCCATTTCAGAGATTTTGCCATCTACCAAGACAACTATATGGTCTACCTGAGGCAGGAAGCTGATGCCATGGGTCACCAGAATTCGGGTCTGGATAGGGAAAAGAAGAAAAAAAACCACATCTCAGTTGTCACTGTGGGGACTACCACTACTCAGCAAGGCAAATACTACCACGTTTTTGGAACGGAGTGAATTATCATGTCAAGGTGAAATGCCAAGGGAAATACACTGTCCTTCTTAGCTTGGAAATACGTACACGAATTTACTATGCTTCCTACCGCATACTGATATAACCACAGAAGGAAGTAAACCAACTAAACTATCATTCCCTCTTACACTGTTTTTCTTTGCAGCCCTTCCCTTTTGAGCTCTGAGATAGCCTGAGAAGATCATAACAGGAGTAGAAGGGGAAGAAAAGAGATTGCAGTTTGGTTGCATACTGCCAAATACCTCTGTAAAATCAGTAAGCTGTTACAACTTCGTCCCTGCACTGCCTCCGAGTAACAACAAGCAATACTAAGCTGACAACCTTTACAAGTTTCTGCAAATGTCTTGTTTCTGGAGATCTCATAGTAAGAATTTTAGAAGACAGGCCAGGTTTCTGCCTCTACATGTTCTGACTAGATCACATCACTTCTGGGCATGCCTAAATAGCAGCTCACCACAGAGTCTGTGCTGTGGGGAAAAGGTGTCCACAGTGCCAATTAAACACAGAAATTCAGGAATGATTCAGCACTCAAGCCTTGGTGGAAAAATAGCTTTGCTGTTACCCATCAGTGGTTTTGAGTTTGCGTGCATTTTTAAGAGGATCTAAATGCCAGCTTACTTTTCCTTTAAGTACCCCATCTGGACCAATAACTTTGTCAAAGATGTGCTTTGCAACATGTGAGTCCACAGCAGACAGAGGATCATCTAATAGGTAGATGTCAGAGTTGCTGTACACTGCACGAGCGAGGCTCACTCTAAGAGCAGAGAACAAAACATATCACACAACTCGGTTCCAACAACAGCTATGACTTTTTATGGCACTCACCCAGTCAAACTCACGGATGCTAAATTGAAACATGAGACGCTGAAGAGAATAACTCACTCTGAGCCAGAGACAGGAACAGAACGCCTCTAAATCTGTTTGTTCACTGCCAAACTTCCACTCACCCAGCAATCTGGAGATTGAATAAGCCTCTTGCTTAATAAGCTCCTAAAGGGAGCTGTTAAAATGCAGAACTATAAAAAGGAAGACCAGCAACCAGGATGTAAAATGCAAACATTCAAAGCAGGGCTGCAGCACCTGGAACAGCTTCCACATCTCTCATCTTACGCACAAATCCACATATCCCCTCCACTTCATGATATCCATCTCACATTTAGTGGCCTGTGAAAAAAGATCTTTGTTGGTAATCACAGATGTAAGAGTTTCTCATTAAGATGAGGTGTTAAGGGATGATCATACCACTTTTTCACTTGATGCACACCATATGTTCCCTTCAGGGAAAGGGAGGACTTCAAGTATTCTGGACAGATGCACCTTTACAATTGGACAGCAAATGCAGGATGCTCTGATCTTCCAGGGCTAGATGCGCTATTACGCATCACGGTACAAACACATGCTTAAAGTTAGGAACAAGTTTAAGTCCAACCACCTTCCACAAAACTGCCCCGCATGCTTCAGTGTTGATTGTCGCAGGTATGCCATTGTAAAGATCAAACCAAATCAAGTGCTGAATTTACAGTACTCTCTCTTTAGACAGAACAGGAATTACCAAGCAGGTCTGACTCGGAAAAAAAAAAAAAATTACCTTCTCTCCTATCTCAGTCTGATCTCCTCCTGGCAGCACTTCCAGGTCAGTTTTTAAAGCACAGGCCTCCAGGACATTTTGGTATTTTTGTTCATTAGGAGCTTGGCCAAACAAAATGTTATCTTTCAGCGTGGCATTCTGGATCCAGGCTTGTTGAGGCACATAAGCAACAGAACCCTAGAACGAGGAGGGAGAAAGGAAACCTCTGACTTGTAACAAGCAGCAATTCACACTTACAATTCTGATTAAGATCTGCAGCACATAGAGATAGCTCCTGTTTGATATACATTCACATTATGCACATACATGTGCTAATGGCTGATGTATAGTTGATAGACTCAGGAAAGTAATTTCATATAAAACACAACTGAACAGGTGTGGGCAAACCCAAGTAAACACACAGACAAGCTGGCATAGGAGCAAACAGAATTCCCTCTCCAGCTTGATGTACATTATAAGCAATGGCAGACATAAGCAGCACATTTCCATACCATCGTTAAATGGCATCGTAAACCATACCAACCTTCACAGCCACTTCTCCTTCCAGCTTTTCCATTTCACCCAGGAGAGCAGACACCAGAGAAGATTTCCCACAGCCAACATGGCCAACAACGGCAACCAAAGCACCACTGGGGACCAACATATTTATACTGTGGAGGAAACAGGCTGGAAATTAATTAAACACTAGTTTACTAAAGACATTATGGGTCTTCAAACCAGGGCTGAAATACACAGTTGCAAATCAGTCTGACTGGATATAGTAACTACAGCTTGGTCACTGGTCTCCTCCCTTTCTTATGTGCAATCAACTGCAACCAGAACTGTTGAGTAAATGGAAATCCAGCATTAATCTATCCTGTTGTTGTTACATCAGTAGGATTGGTAGCAAGCCTTTTAAGACCTTTGCTCTCTCATATCAGTCCATCAGCAAGTCAAACAGGGTTAACAGGCAGCTGAAAGCAGACAGTCTTGCAGAAGTCTTTTGGTTATTGATTTTAAAACCAAGATCAACTGTACGAAAGTAGTGAGCTAATACATCCCGTCTAAAAATGTTCAAACCGCTTTAGTACCATGTTGGCAGTGCTAGTAAATAGGGTTCACAACAACAGAAGAAAAATAAAACTTTCCCAACTAAAATCCTTTACTGTTTTTTCCCCACTATGTTCTTAAAGGTACTGCTTTAGGTCCTGGTTTTGAAGGTGAACTGATAGGGAAATGACTGATGGACACAGTCTCTTTGCCATCAAAATGTCTTTCGCTAGTGAAATCAAGCCAAACTTCTGTTTTCACAGATCCTGATGCAGAACTAGGGCTCTAATTCTCATGCAGATTCCTACCAAGCAGGTAGCTGATGTTTTGAACACTGCAAGAGGTTTTTTGTTTGTTCTAAAAAAAAAAAAAAAAAAATTTAAAAGCAGGAAAACTCAGAAGTACTACAATTTCTGTTTCATTATTCTTTCCCTCTACCCGAGTTTTGCTTTACTGCTACTTTAGGAATTCATCGGGTAATTTTTAGATGCAGATGACTAGCAATTTGAGCTGGAGATGCATGGTTCTTTCTGAAATAAACCCCAGAACACTGAAGTCAACCTGACTGCAGATTTGGTTGCCTGAACCAAACTGGGTCCTTCGAACTCTAAGCCTCTTGCTTGCAGGTTATCCATGTGTAACCTGCTACCATAATACACTGAGCTCAGCAACACAAGCTCATTGGTCTGAGAATTCTAAGAATACTTAGGAGGCTTCTGTGATTTTGATCTGACAACAAAGCATAACATAAGAAAGTATATGCTTCCAGGCAAATTTTGTTTGTATTCATTTGAACACGCAAATGCGCAAAACATGCACTCACATAGTCTGGAAATGGCCTACGTACAGCCACATGAATGAGTCAGCCACAAGACTCTTCTTTAAAGAACAGACCACTGTTTACACACCCAAGGCCAAACCCAGACATCTCAACTGTCCTCATAATCCATCAGATCAATTTGATTTGTCCAACGCTTCAGTTTAAAAAATGTCTATTTACCAAATTTACATAGTCTTTCTGTCCTTTAATAGGTAACTATTTTACGCTAGTCACTGTGGAGTTAAAGCCTTACAGCACTGTTCTGTAAAGCCTAAATACCATGAGGCATGAGGATGAGCTCAATGTTTTTAAAGGCAGAAAAGATGCACATATGGGATGTGTGGAAACAACCTTTTCCAAAAGTGAGCCTGCAGATATTACTAGACATCTTTCAAACAGACCTCTCAGGAGCCAGAAACCACGAAGCAGGTAGATGTTGTATTGCAGTTGCATAAAGAAATCTTACTCTTTCAAAGATGGCTTAAGCTCCTTTCCCCAGCTGAACGTCGCATTTGTTACACTGATGGCATTGCCTGTGTGACAAAAACACAACAGTAGAGAAGGCAGGAAACGTATTACACAGAATAGTACGGCAGAGGGACTGGCAGACAGAGGAATCTTTATTTATGGGTGTTTCATGTACACTGCAGTTCCCTCTTCTACTGGCATGGGAAGCACAGTCTCATGACTGTGGGTCACAAGACAGGCTTGTTCAGAGTGAAAATAACTGATTGCAGCTTAAGCTATAGACTGAGAGCTTACAGATCTACAGAGCTGAAAAGCTGTCCTGCTTCACCCTGCCCCGGTGAGGCTGGTCCCAACATTGGCTGCTCAGAATCCCCGTGCAACTGTTAGCATATCTTTACTTAAGAAACCACTTTCAAGTCAGTAGGAGACCACTGCATGCTGCTGACTTTGATGTATCAGATTAAATTTGCCTCTGCACTGCTTTTTGCTTGCCACACTAACAAGTTACAGATCTGCAGGCTTTCTTTACCTCCTGGTGGGGTGGTGTATAACAGTAATAGCATCCCAGCCTCCTCCTCTCTCCACGGCATCACACACAAGAGAGGTTTCAAACCACAGCATCACGAAAGTGCATTACATGAGAAAACACATTTTTTTGAGACCACCTGGTTTGCTCATTTGCTTTGGGATACTGTTCCCAACAGAAGAAAAATCAAAATTGTCTATAATGTTCCTGAGCATTTGTGCAGTGCAAAAGGTTTGAGCAGGTCTTGCTGTCCCTAGTCAGCGGATGCACTTCATTATTCAGTGCTGTTAGCATCTGATACACTGCAGATGCAAACTCAGGCCAAATAACTCAGCTCAAAAATATATCCAGAAACTTATTCTAATTTCCACATAGCCTGAACAACAAACATACTTTTCAAAGCAGCAGCTTTTTTTTTTTTTAAACCAAGATTATTATTGTTATTTTATTTTTGCTTTTTTTCATAACTCAACCAGTCCAAGCCAAATACAAGACGTTTGTTGTATTAGCATAGTTTAGAAAAATACCGGTCTTTACCTGGTGCAATCATTTTTGTTTCCACACAATTTGGATCAAGCTCATCATGACTCAGGAATTGCTGAATTCTCTTTAGGGAAACGCTTGTCTAAGAAAAGAGCGCAGTGTTATTTTATCATTCTTTTAATGGGGGCTTAATGCTCTTACTACTGAAAAAGAAAGCATGCAGCATGGCTTAAGCTTTCACCCCATGGGCTTCCTGAACAGTGACTCATTCTTTCTCTGCAATCAGTTTTATACTGAAATTCAAGCTTTTAACTGTGAAATTTCTCAGACCAAGCTGAGTTCATCTGAGCAAAGCAAAATTCACACAGACAAGCTTACTCAGAAGATGTCAGGCTTTCCACTACAGGGCAGCAGTAGAGAAAGGATATTAGAAAGAAAACCAGCTAACAGGCAGATGCGAGGGATCTCTGCATTGCAGAAACCAGGGACACCTGGGGTTCTTTTTGTTCAAGTTGTTCAAAACAACTTCTGCACCAGATCCTCCTTACCTGCGCAATGTTGCTAATGACTTGTGGAAGCATATTGAGGGGAAACTTTAAGATATTAAACAAGGAGAGGGAGACAAAAGCCTTTTCTGCATCCAGGATATTCTTTTCATCCACCGAGACATACACAGCAAATGTCGTCAATGCTACCTGAAAGCCAGAAACTGAGTTTACTGCAAGACACGTCTAATATTTTGACATTTCAAAAAGCAGTCGAGCCTGCTTGATAGGCATCTTTGAAATAAGAGTATCAACAACAAAATCGGGCACATTCTCTGTTTCTGACCTTTTCAACATGCTTTAAGAATGACAAGTCGTATGAACAAGTTGATACAAAAAAGGGCACACAGAATAAAATAACTTTCAGATTACTAATGGCTACATTTAGTTGAACTAGGAGATTCAAGAGGCGAACTACAGAACTTGGGTAAGTAAAAATGAGAAGCAGTTATCTGGCTGTGGTTTGGCTGCATTTGCAACTCCACCCAATCAAATTTTCCCATTGTAAACTGCGGGCTCAGCAAACAAGACTCACTGATCAATAGAAAAGGGAGCAAAATCCAAGTTATCTGCTGGTTCACTGTATGACAGGGACCATCCACTGTGGAGGGACCATCCTAAGCAGTAAACTAGCAGTAAGCAGGAACAGGAATGTGTATTTAAGGAAGTGCATTATCTTTAAGGAAACATGAAAGAGGCAGGATCTTGAGGCCATTAAGAATATTTCTGCAGGGTTGGGCCTTTGATCTCGAGAACAGTTGGCTAGGAACATTTTTGACAAAGCACTTACCTGAATGTTTTTATTCATCAAAACCAAAACCCTTTCTGCAAAAGGGATCACAGAGCAATGAAGTGGAAAACAGAGGGGAAGAGAAAACTGAGGAAAAAGCATTTCAGAATTGGCAAGCTACTACATGGGCTTTATTTTTTACATTAAATCAATCTTTTTTTCGATTGTAGAATAATTTAACAACTCTCTCTCCCACTAACACAAGGAGAGCACTGTAACACAAAAGGTAGAAACAACGGCTTAAAGACAGATGTTGTCCTGACTGACTCAATTAAAAAAATTTTTTTTGCAATTTTTTGCTATTCACAAATATCTCTGATGTTTCAAATTCTAGTTTCAATTTGTTATGGGAAGTACTTTGAAGTGGTTGGAAATTCTCCTGAGACAGCTATTCCCAGCTTCCACTGGCGGGCTTTATCAAGAAATACTTTAATACCGATTAACAAAAAGGCTCTAGAGAACAGGGAACTTCGCTTCAAAGCATGTGAATAATTTTTTTTTAAAAGTATTTACATTTTATTCCTATGTACATTTAGCAAGCAGAAAGCCTCACACTTAGCCATCAAGGATGTACTTGTACAGCTTAGAAAGTCATGCAAATTGAGTTTACCAGGAATGGTGCGCTGATCCACGCAAAGGTGGACAAAGAATTGAGATAGGCAGATTTTTTCAACACTCGCAGCTCATTCTTTCGTATCTCCAACACTTTTTCTGAAAACGATGGTTCCCAAGCATACAGCTTCAGCACCTTTATGCCACCCAGAATCTCATTCATTAATTTAATGCGGGAGTCTTTATGTCGCATTTGTTCCACCTAGGTTATTAGTAAACACAGGAGACAGAGTGTCACAGTAATGACTAGAAGAGAGCTTTCAACATGTTGTCTCACAGCTGTGATGGTCCTTGGGCTATTTCTAAAGAGGATGCAAAAGGTAATTAAAAGACAGCCAGACTGTTAGCAGTAAGCTTACTGCACAAGTCTATACCTCCAAAGAAATGAGAAATCAAAGAAAATGGCTGAAAAGCAGAGTATAAAAGCTTTCCACTCATCTTCACTGTTAGGGGTTACATTTTCAAAACCACCTTAAAGAAAGATTCAGCCACTTCACAAAAATACTACCTTACTTCTTCCTTTGATTTCTTCAGATTTTTTTTCCTGATATGCATAGTTGTATTTCTTAGAGCATCCCTTGAAAATTGTGGTTATTCCTAGTTTATTTTTTTCCTATACATTTGAATGAAGCACTGTATTCTGTTACTTTAAAAAAAATAAAATAAAAAAAAAAGACCAACCCTGCTCAGCTGTATAGACAAAATGAAAAACTGCATTCATACACACATGCACACCAAGTTATGCAGCTCTGAGCATCTTATAATGGGCAAGGGAGAAAAGGAATGCTAATACTAACATGTCAGCATCCAAGAGATTTAATGGGAAGTCTGGATGTCTCTTTAAGGCACGTAATACCACCACTCTCTTACTAAGGCTGTGCTTAAATGTCATAATTTATATTTGTTTTCCAACTCTTACTTTTCTTACATCAGCAGCTTGATTTTTTTTTTTTTAAATCTTCCAAACAGTCACTGATAGGCTGCACAGCACAAACCACTTATCAGATTTTTCTAGCACAAAGCCAGAGGGCACTATTATATTGGGTTTTTAGGGACAACTAAAACTACAAAGAAAGGCATAAAGAATCCTTTTACCTTAAGATAATAATTCAAATTTGGTCCAGCTCAGTACCAATGAAAGTCAACACCAGCTATTAGCATAAAAAACAAGCTGCCAGGTTTCAGTTCCCATCTCTGAAAAGAGTCATTCACAGCTTAAAGAACAGCATTTATTTGCCCTTTCTCTAGACCTCCTAGAAGAAGCTACCAGCTGAAGGGATTCGGAGACAAAAGAAACTTCTTGCTAATCCCAGAGGCTGCTCCAGCAGTATGAAGAGCCACTGACTCAATACCACACCTTTCCCTTAAATAGCATTCAATTTACTACAGAAAAACTATCTGAGAAAATACAGTTATTAAATATATCAGTACAATCTTACTCATAAGTAAATTGGTGCAAATGGCAGCTCATTAACGGCCAAGACAACCACTGATGCCTTCATTTCTCATAGCACAGCTGCCAAGTCAGATAACGTCACCTTCTCTGCTGGTACCTTACCTGGAATGTTCTGGTTTTCATTGCTATTGCAGAGTTAAATGGGATAAGTAAAACCATCACAGCAACTCCTGCCAGCACAGAAGGCCCTAAAGTCTTGATTGAAAGAAAAAAGGTAAACTGTTGTTGTACCCAAGTGCTGCTGTTCCCTATGGTGAGCATTAAAACAACAGTAGGTTATAGAAACAGAAATTAATGTTTTACATAGACAAGTCAAACTCTTCCCAGTGAAGTGTTCTGATTCCACAGAACAGCTATGAGGAGGAGACAAAAATATGACAGCATCCACCTTGAATTATTATTATGATGATGCTAGTATTGGTGATAACAGAGTGCTTTGTGATTTACCTGTGAAGTGGTTCCCAGTGGGAAGGGGAAGTAACTTTGAACTAACACAAATACAGAGCTATTGAGCAAATGTAGAAAGGGAACAAGTAAGCCACACAGAAAGAATTTTTCCATTGACTCCTCTCTGACCTAGGGAACTGTAATTACTGAATTAACCCAGTACCCTCAATGCGAGTAAAAGCATACAAACTGCAGCTTACCAGCCGAGCAGTAACTCATAAAGCTGCTGCAACTTAATGGCTTTCAAGGCTAAATCAATATGGTTATGTTGGAGCTACTGTTTTACGCAGTAAAACAGATTCGTTTCATAGAAACATTTTAAGGGTGAAAGCCAGTGCTCAAACTGAATCTGGAATAAACCAGAAACAACTTCACTGCAGCAAAGGAAAAAATATGATTATTCCAGGTGAGCTTTGCTTCATGTTGACTTGCACAAAACTTCTTTATATGGCACAATATAATCTTCATACATGGCTTACATTTCCTATGTCCAGGGTTGTGGTTTTTTTGTTTGGTTTGGCTTTTAAACTATTTCCCTCAAGCTCCCATTTGTATCACCTACTGGGAACACGGTGATGAGTCCAAGACTGATCCTATCAAGGCATGGTAGGGACAGAGGAGACATAAAGGCTGTCTTTTGCTTCAAATACCTTATCTCGCCTACCAGCTGAACAAAATAATTAAGAGACTAATTAATCATGTACACCAGTACCAGCTATTTTACTATAAAGCAGAACAACAATCATAGAATTGTTTAGGTTGGAAAAGACCTTTAAGATCATCAAGTCCAACCGTTAACCTAGCACTGCCAGGTCCACCACTAAACCATGTCCCTAAGTACCACATCTTGGCCACCTGGACACACTGCTGGTTCATATCTAGATGGCTGTCAATTGTAAGTTTCCAAAAAAAGCAGTGGTGGATCACATTAACAAAAATATAATAAGCTTGCACATCATTTAGACAAATTCTGAAAAAATGTGATAATGTCTGTACCTGCCAGAGGAAATACAAAGCCAGAAATATCTGGAGCGGTGCAGACCACAACATGTTCAGGAAAGTCATCAGGTCCATGAAACGTTGGGCATCCACTGACATCAAGTTGACAATTTCTCCAACAGTAGATGAGCGCTTCGCTGAGTTTGTGATGACTAAGGACTGAGAAATAAGAGAGATTCAGTGGATTCACAATCTTGATATGTATGGAAAAACTGAGAAATCCTCAGTTATTAGCAAAATAAGACACTCCCTGAGAACGTGCTTCTCCAACAAGAATAAAATAATTCACGCTTACATCAATTCCTAATCTCCAAAGAACAAAACTTCATGAAATGGTTTGCACGTGAGCACCTCTATCTCAAGCAGTATGTACCATTCTGAAGAAAACCTAGTTGCATCTAATCAACTTGTAGCACAAACACACTATCCCTCTTCCAAATACTTAAAGTGAACCAGTATTTGCCTGTGATATGTCTGGTGACCTACCAGTACAGCCACTAAGTTGCTGATGACCAGAAAATTCTGTAAAGTATGATAGAGGTACTCCTAAAAACTCACCAAAAAAAAATAAATCTTATTTTCCAGGAGGCTATTCTTCTCCAATATGCCTGCTCTTCCCTGAGTATTTGAGAACTGAGGCCACTTGCTTGGCTATACACTGCTGTTCCAGCCCATGAAATGCTTCCAGTCTTACCTTTCGGTATATAACTCCAGTGATCCCAGTTCTCAGCCTCATCCCAGTAACGAAGCAGTACTGGAAATGCTGGTGAAGTATGAGTGTCTGCAGCACAGCACAGATAAACATCAAAGCCGCAATCAAAAATCCCCACCAGGCTGGGGCATCTTTGTTCTTAATGAAGCCGATTAATACACTGTTTTTCAGAAGATTAGGGAAGGAAAGGAAACAAAAATAAAAACCATGCAAGTTTAATGGGACATAACACAGCTTCTCTCAACTATGGCAACCTGCCACATCCTCTCTCTAACCACAAAAAGTAAACAGCTCTCCAGGATGCGAGCTGAGTTACGATTTCAGTCAAACAACATTGCAAAGATACAACAGCAAAACCTTAGGCTTTGCCAGTGAAAAAGCCCATTTGCAAGTGAGCCTGTAGAAAATGAAATATGATGAGAAACTCTAGGTTTCCCCCGAGATCCAGCATTTAAACACATGGCTCACTGTCTGAGCTGCGTTAGGCAGCCCCCCAGGGCAAGAGGTTAATGACAGGACACAGTAGGACTGTGTAGTAAAGCAGGCAAAACCAGCTTCTTACCCAAATCCTTCTCAAGCAGCCCGAGTGCTTCTGCCTGGGGTGTTTTCCCACAAAAAAAAAAAAGGTAGATTAAAAGACACCCTCCTGGATGGATGCATAAGGAGTTCTTCGCTCCTACTTTTTTGGCAGAATGGTAGTACCATTAAACTGGCTATACCATCTTTTATCAATAAGCCGTTTCTTACTACACAGAGCTTCTCTCCCTGCGAGACCTGCACGCTGACATGTAGCAAACAAGCAGAACAACATACGACAATGTCCAGTATTCTCAAAAATCACATTTGTGATTTCAGCCTACTGACCACAGTATTGAATTGCCAAAACATGGGAGGAACAGAGATTTGAATCCATAGTTCCCATAACTAGCAGGGGGAAAATATACCTGGAAACTAGAGGTCAGGCCCCAAACCCTTATGTTAGAAGCATGAGGTTGCTACATCTTTCTTCTTCCAGTCCAAAAAGATCTTCCTTCTGCACTGCATCAGCCATTCATGCTGTCAGTGGACAGCTTCAGGAAAACCTCTTCCTCGTAGTCCCAGCATGGGATTCAGCAGTCTTTTTAGAAACATGAAACTATCTTATGTGCAACCTGCCAGACAGCCGTGGCTTTTTCATTTTTTCTTATCACTAGCAGTGCATTTTCCAAGACTGCAGGAATTTAGACTTAAGAAGAAATTCCCCATCATATGCCTTGAGATATCACTGATAGCATATCCAGGAATTCATGCAAAATTTGAGAAATTCCCAGAATAGATTATACTTAATGTGCTCTCAGAAGGAAGCCAGCTGCCTCCTCTTCACTAGGGACTCTAGAAGAAGACAGGCTGTAAGCTATTAAATGTCACCATACTAGGTCAGACCCTCTTTTTAGCAAATTTCTGGGTATGTCACAAACCACCCACAGAACAACACATCAGAACACAGCTCCACACTGGTTTTATTTTAAGAGGCACTCATATAAGAGCAGGGCCCTCTCTTCCCCCTTCCCCCCATCCACCTGTGGCCTCCATCCAAACTCCATTCCTCTCTCATGCATTAACAGGACTATGTGCTTTTCCACTGATTTGGAAATAAAAAATAATTGTTTGATATAAATGCTGGTATTCCCACTGTTACTTTCTTTTTAGTTAATGATTATCTGGTGAAAATTCTCACTTTAAGAATAATACTAACAGAGAAAAAAAAAAAGTGGGGATCATGCAAATTCCTTTATGGATCAGGCTGAGCAACTGTTCCCCCTGGAGATGGGAGGTACAGGTGTTCCTCATACAAGCAGAGTTTGAGGACATACCACTTTTGTCAAGGTCTCTCTCTTTTTTTTTTAAAATAGAACCAAAATTTCATTTCACAAGGAAATTTACTGCAACTGTGCCTTGCACATTCTCATTGCTGTGCACAACTAAGAACGCATGAACTCTTCTAAATGATCCAAAATCTTTCCCAGATGACAGTGGCATGGCCATAGCACCACAAACTTGAGTATCGCACTTCATTTGTATATCAAGTCAGGCTACAGCTGCGGCCACCACCAACACATGTGGGTATCAGATGCACAGAGACTACAGGATCCAGCAAGCAGTGCTTCGCTTTGATTTTGCAAATAATCCTTTAGAAATGGGGAGAAATTGCTTTGGACTGCTGCATGGAGCAACAGGTAATTCAAAGCTGTCTATTGGTGATAGGCGATTTATGAATCTTGCATTTCAGTGATGCTTGCCCAATTTACAGCTTAGTCCACAATAAAGAACTCCTGTCTTATGTCATTTCAGTGGGAAGGTGAGGGAGCATACACATGCAGCACTGTGAGGGAAACTAGCTATGCATTTCAAAAATAAATACTCCGTGCCAAAGCCAAGCCTCCACAGGGATTGCACATAGACACTACTCACACAGTAAACCAACCTTAACAGTTGAGGGTTGACGAAAGAAAGTAGGTCTTGTATCAGCTTGAAGAAGGAGCCGATTAAGAAGTACGGCCCAAAGGTCCTCAACAAAGCTTTGAGAAAAGAAGGCTTTCTACTGTGCTTCTTGTCTCTGATCAGAACTTCTGCTTCCTCTGGACCATCACCAACATGATTCAGCACATGGTTAGATTTCTTCATATATGTCACATCTTCTTTCCTAAGGGAATGAAACAATTAGAGAGAACTGACAACGAGAATGTCATTGACCTATGTGTACAGCACTGCAGTAACAGCTGAAAGTCCGCTTCTTTCTTTGCTTTGCTACTGATCAGCAGCTAGACTTTCAACAAGATCTAGATGCACTCAGGGATAGGCCACTCTTGTGTCATGAGTCTTGTTTTCTTTTCTTTTTCTGCAGTACTTGTGAGGTGTACTCCATGGGCCAGAAAAATCAATCACCATAGGATGAGAACATGGCCCAAACAAGCAGGAGATGAAGGCTTGACTTCCTTTGGGCAGAGGACAGAGTTGACCTTGAATCTCCAATTTCTTGTAGGGGAATCCTCTAACAGTTGCTATTTACATACCACAAAAGGCACCCTCACCTAGCCCTTCTGAGACTGCATTTGTTATTCAATTAGTAGCTGTACTAAACCTGTAGCCTTATCTGATCACACAGCTGCTTTCAGAGAAGTAGTCTGAATCCCTCCGGGGAGACAGGCATTGAATCACAGGCCAAGCTAAGAGAGGAAGCAGGCACAGCCCTCTCAAAATACAGAGTTTTGCATTCCTAGAAACTTGAAAGAGTACAAACCATAGCACCTCCAAAGCTGAGCCATCTCCAAGATCTGGGCCGCAGCTGTCCAAGGTTCTTCCAGGACAGAAACTTTGGGTTTAGGTTCCCAAATTTCCAAATTTTACTCAGATGACAATTAAAGCATTTAAACCCTGTTTGGTTCTATTCCTTTCTTACTTTGTGCCTCTCTCTCTCCATCTGCAAATTAAGCCAACGAAAATGACCTCTTCTGCAAAGCTCTTTGAGACCGACTGATAAAAAATGGACCCAACAGGTCCGTGCTGCTCTCTAGGACTCTAGGTGGATTTTCTAGAAGCACCTCTGGGGCTTAGGTGCCCGACTTCTGTTGCCCATCAATAAAAAGGGGGTGCTCTGGGAAATTATTTCCTCCATGAATTGCTCTCAAAGAGCAGCCTGGCAGCTTTTCTACCAGCAAATACCAAATTGCTGTTGTTTCTTGGGGGCTATGGGACCTAGAGAACAATTTCCTGAATGGCAGCCAGGGAGGTTAAGTCCAGGTGGAGCTTGGAGAAGGAAATTAGTCTGGGGCACATAAGCCTTATAAGAAGGGACAGATGGAAGAGAGACCCTAGAAACGGTGAAGGTTTACAAGAAGGCATTTGAAAAATAACTTGTAAGTACTATCAAGTGAGGTTGGATTTATGATTCTTCATAAAGAGCATATAGGTTTTTTGGAGCTGGCTGACTGCAGAGTCAAATAATTCCAACAGCCTGTGAGTGTTCAAAATGATCACTGTGGCTAACAGTCCACAGGTAGAAACTTGTTCATATCCTTTCAAACAAAAGCATGTGCAAATCCCGATTTCTTTGCAATAAAGTTTGAGGGCAGGGGGAGAACCTAAACCAGACTTTTCTTTTTTTTTTTTTTCTCCCAGACAAGAACAAACAGCGTTGCCTTTGTCCTTCCAGATCAAACCTGGACAGTTTATGAGCAAAGCCTTATTTTTCTGGCAACCAGGCTGCTAAACTCATTGAAGGATTTGAAGAAACAAGACTACTCGCCCCTGGCTTTGTGCTATTAAAAATGTTTATTACAGTGAGCTAACAGCAACGCAATAGTTCTCTCACAGCAAAAAAATCCCACAAGGAGAAAATACACTTCTAGTGTTTACTACAGGTAGCTAGGCGAGGTCAGGCTTTCAGCAGCGTGTGGGACTGCTCACACCCAGTTTTTTATCAAAGCAAAAAGCATGTGCCTGTCTCCATTATTTATAGCAGGGCAGGTAATAGATGCTGACTATCTCATGGGAAAACACATAGCTTTCTCAATGGTGATGACACGGCCCTGCATCTTCAATGTGTCTTAATAAGCATAGTCTCTAAAAGCAGAAGCTAACGAAAAACGATGCAAAATAGATTCCATCTCTCTCTTCATCCAGCACAGCTCTAACTTTCTCAGAACCAGCTGCACTGATCAGTAAAGTGAGAGAGTAAAGACTTCAGCCATACATGCAAAGAGAGCAAAAGAGAAAAATACTCTTTGCATGCTTTATTGTTTATAATAACTTAAAACTGATCTCTCCTGTAGCTCGTTAGTAGCAAATGAATTATTAGCAATTATTTCACAATAATTCACAAGACAGCTGTGAAGCAAAATGTAAAAAGGTTTTGTAGGTTTTGGAACAATAGAAATGTGCTAATCATTACCATAAAATAAGTTTAAAGCTTCAGCTATGCCAAAGTTGCAACTGATTAAGTTTTTTAAAATAAATTACTACTATGTACACTTCAAATATTTTCCATGACACTTTCAACACGTGTACAACTTGACACAGCATTCTTAATGTCATAAAAGCTTGCTCAGAGCAGATTTAATGAGTTAAAAAAGTATTCACAACAGCTCCCAAGCAACTACCACTAATGTTATTTGACATGAAGTAATTGAAAACACCTACTTGTAATTGAAGAATAAGCAGAGCCATGAAGCTTTTAGAGTTATGTGAAACCCAGCAACCTGGAGTACAGTGATTTGCTTTGTTTTTGCTTTTCCCCACCTTAGAATCATTAATATAGTTGCCACAAAATTTTACCTTAGCTAAATACAAGCCAGAAGTTATGGTTAAATTCATTGCCAACTGGCCCCAGTTTGTATGAATAATTTTCAAAATGCAATGAATCCCTTGACAAAACTCCAGGCACGGTTTCTGGTTTCCTAGAAAAAGTTTTCCTGGACCCTAGGCACTTCTGCACAATGGCTGTGCTCTTACTATATAAAAGCCTGGGGGAGTAAAATTTATGTCTGTGCAAGAAGACCAGAACCCAGACAATGCATGTTATTCCACACCATAAAAATGGAGACATGAAGAAAACAAAAAAAACCCCAAAGTAAAACCACAATGCACATACGCACAGCGCACTAGTGGACAAGCTGCTGGTGCTAGTGCTGGAAGCCTTTCAAATTTTAGCTGCAAAGCGGAACTCTCCACATCATATTTAGCCTTGCCAAGAACCCTACAACTCTCTCCTAATATTATCACATAATAGGGTCTTTCCAATTTGGCAAGGATATGCACAGAAGAGAACAGAGGAAAGCCTCCACATGGAGAAGAAATCTCCACAATGAAAGGAAATGGAAGTGCGGGCCTCCTCCTTATTGAAAGTTTTAATTTGAAACACGCTATTATCACGTCTATTTGTTTGGAAACATTTTGGACACAAACCAGTGGGAGAAGGAAACACAGTTGCACAATAGATAACTTCTTTAGATTAGGACAGAACATGCAATAAAAAGGATATCCTCTTCAGCATGGATGTAACTATATACAAGTTCTGACCCTCATCCCACTTCCATCAGAGACTATGAGAATTTTGCTGCTAACTTTCTAGGCAACAGGAGTAGGGTCTCGGCTCACAGTAGGATATCTCTTCCCCACCTGCCTTTCACATGTTTTGAGTTTCCTATCTTCACTGCTAAGAAGAGAAGAGTTGCTCACTCCTAAGAGCCTTAAGGCTAAAAATAGTTGTCAGGCCAAAAAACTTGTGATGGGGATGATGAGGAATTCCTTTTGGATTATGGTGCCTAGTGGTTGTGCTCTAACATGCCCAGGAGGTGTGCAATTATGGGGTTAGACATCCAGCAGCTCAGTGATGAAAGTTGTTCATTTTCTACAATCCAACCAACTCAATCCCTTCAGCTTACACATCTTCAGCCCTTCTCAACATGGTAAATGGCACTACCTGCCCATGCGGATTTTAAGCACCTAGTTAAAAAGTGTGTTGGTGGTACACAAGCCCTAGAGGGCTCCTGCTTGCCTCTGCCTAGACATATTAAAAATCAGCAAATTTGACTGTTAATATGAATGAAAAAGAGACAGGTTGAAGAGGTAGGTGCCATTTTTAGTTGGCTCATTTTCAGTCGTCTCATTTTCAGTCATGAGCAGCTTATTAATGTTGAAACGACTCGGATCAATCTCTGTTTGCAGACTTGTTCGTACACTTACTGTTTGCACTCTGCTTTTTCTTTGTCCCACTCTTTACTTAGTTGTTGCACAATAATTTTTGAAGTATCATCTTCATTCAGCGACCACAAATCTTTATCTTCAAGGGGCCTTTTGTACCCAAGAATTGCCATGCTGCAGATATGGAGAAAAACAGTCCAATTCAGTTTGGTTAATAGTATTTAAAGCATTGCTACTTACTCTGGGACTGTTGAGCTAACAAAACCAAGAAGATACATCTTCACAGAAAGGGTGATAATTATACCTCCATCTCCTTTTGTTCCTTATATTGATGTTTGCAATTAAGGAAATGACATTACGCAGTTTTGATTACATGTATTTTATTGAAAACATCACTTCAGAAAAAAAGGATAATAAAAACCAACTGCCAGAAGCATTTGAATGAAACTGTGGTGTTGAATAGAAACAGTGAAGCTTTAGAGGTGAAAATAATGAAATCTATCTGGAATAACTGTCAGAGGTGAACAAAATGCAAAAGCAAAGCTCATGTAAGTTAAAGGAAAATCAGATTTCTCCGAAAACTACAGTTCCTCAACTATAAGAGGAATTTTGTGAAGGGATACAAACATCGAGTTGCCAGGAGTCTCGACAGGGAAGCTGAACATTCAAAACTCTGGAAGTTTAGAAAGATCTCACACTCTCTCACCAAAAAGAACTTTACAGGGCTGTTGCCAGGCCAATAAAGTTACATGGATGGAAGAATGAAGATCTCAACACCCTCAACCACTATGGAAAAATTGGGTCTTAACATGACCTTTGACAGGTGTTCCACTTCTTTATCATGGGAGTAGTAGTAAGCCCAATCTCAGATTTGCATCTTTAATACACATGCCTTTTGACAGCAGTAGCAGTTGGTGGTAATCATTTGTATATCTAACCCAGTTTACCTTCCCTCTTGCACAGAAAATGTCCTTATAAAAAAGCATTCACCCATGAACCTCAACAGGAAACAAAATGCATCCTCAGGTGGGTAAAAGGTTGCCACAATTAATCTTGTGGAACACAGCCTTGCGCCTTGGTTTAGGTTATACTCCAGCACACAGTAAGCACAACCAGGCTGTACACCCTGTTAGTCGTGCCGCACTTGTTGCCACTACTCTTCAGAGAAGAAATTTGGGCAGTATGAGCACTCTGAAAACTGTTTCTAAAAAGAGGAATGCTAAAAGTGCTGACACCACTGTGGATGAAAGAGCATCCAACATCAACTACTTACAGAGGAAAAAAAAAAATCTCTGTATTGCTAACTCTGTACAACACATATCACAAGTAGAGTTTGGGGTTGTCAGCTGTCCGACAGCTTGAAAGAGAAGCTCACCTTGTAAACCACCAAAATGTCAATCTTGACAGGAAGCCTGAAGTTAGCTCTGGACATGGATTCTATAGCAAAGTTATGGGGGGAAAAGCCAAAATAAATAAAGCAAAACCTTTACCATTACTTTAATAAGAAGACAGTTTATTTTGATCAGTTTTGGTATACTATCTGGTATATTATGTGTACATACCTATGTCCTAATGAAACATAAAATTGATTTCTTTCATTTCCCATGTCATACAGAACTCTTTTTATCTTTAAAAATTGCTTCATATACTGCCTTTAAATCACACTTACATAAAGTGAAATGTCATTCTATAGTTTTCGAAATGTTCATTCTAAGAAATGAACTCAACTTCTCCCTCAGCTTGGTTCAAACATAAATCCAATTATAGAAACCATTTTATGAATTGGAGGAGAAATTTAACCTGTGACACCACTAATATCTTCTGTTATTAATATTTTTCCATATCTATTCTCAACACATATAGAACTCATTTATTAAGACAACCCTTACAGACTTTAGCTAACTCTAAATGAATGTTAAGCAAGTAGACCACCATCTCCACAAAAACCACTCTTGAAATAATCAATATTACACTTCAATGTTCATAAATGTGATTTAAACTACTGTGAAGCAGCAAGTAGGAGAGCTGCTTTCACTACATAGCTTCCAGTCATTACCGATGGCACATATAATGGAAAAAGGCTTCAAACCCTAATATTACTCTCCATACCCAGTGTTTCATAAGAGGGTCACTAGCTACTGCAATCTCAATGACAATCCAAAGCTGTTTTCAGTGAAAAGTATTCTCAGTGGAGCTCTCAAAACATGATCTAGCGTGTTAAAATGCAAATAAAGCCAAGTAAAAATACTTACAGGATCTGTATTAACAGGGGAAAAAAATGGAGGCTTTTCTTTAAAACATGAAAGGATCAACTCAATGATTATCAAAGCAAAGTAGATGTAAAATGTGGTAAACCTGAACCTTTCATTTACATGGCCCTAGAGGGAAAAAGAAACACAGTAAATTATTGTTTTTTCATTGTACATCCCAGCCCCCCCAACACACACACACACACACACTGAATTTTTCACAGCTTCTTTTAGCAATTCCTTTCTTCCTCTATGGTTGAATACTGAAAAGTAGTTGCTAGCAGGAATTATCTTACAAAAGTATGCATGTACTCCATAAAGTGCCTAAGAACATGCTTATCTCCAAGCTTTTCATTAAATTATGTCAAGTTCAAAGTGCTTATACATCTTCACTGCATGCAGACACCCTCTGGAATCAGGGCTACATGACATCCTTCTAAATTACCTTCAGGGGTTCTTGCAAGATCATGTCTTAAGCATAAGAATTGTCAGCCCAGATCACAGAACATCCACTTACTTTAGTATCTTGTCACTGACAAGCAGTCAGTGTTAAATACTTTCAGAGGAAGCTGCAAAAAAACACTGTATTGCATAATAACAGTTCCATCTGCTCTAGCGATATTTCCTTTCCTACTTGTATGAGTCTGCAGTTGACTTAAATCTTCTCATTGTGAGGGTAAGTCCATTTTACAGCTCTTTCATACCCTAATGGAGTTGTGAATGCTCTCATTGTTCACTTAAAATGTTTAAACCTTAAGCGCAAGAGAAATATTATTTCTCAGCAGTTGCAAGAATAGGAGAAACGATGCCCATAACTGTTCTAAGGCTCTGCACCCCTAAATTTTACGCTGATTAAGGATTCAAACATTGATAGTCCAATATTGGTACCTATTCACCACTACTACAGTTTTAAAATTGACTTGAAGTGGTGTTTGAAAGGGTCTCACCAGGATTGCGGCCATTTTCTGCAGAAGTTCTCCACAGAATGTCATTTAATGTTTCATTCAATCTCTGCTGGAATATTTACAACAGCCTGGTATAGAAAAACCCTTGCTAAAAGGATAATGCTGCTAATAGTTACAAAAAAGTATAAAAAAAAATAAATAAAAATCACCAAACAGAATCAACACTGATTTCACTGAGGAGAAGCAATCACCTTAATGTTTTTCAAATACTCTTTTTTGCTCCTAATCAGTGAAGCAATCTGCTTTGCCCTACTTAGGGAAATTTGTTTCTGTGAAAAACATAACAACTTTCTTACTGTGGGAGAACCTGCTATGTTTTCAAACAGGAATCATAACAGCCCAGGTTTCTTTCCTCTCCCTCCAACTTCCTTCTCTCTATTTACAGCCACAGTTGGGAGTCAAAATGCTGTCCTCAGCACATCAGGCACTGATGAAAGAAAGCCTACGGAGCTGTATAATGTGGCCAATCTGCCTAAGCAAAAAAGGGACATTACGTATTAAAATGTGTCATCTCCGATTACTACCCATCCTTATTTAAGCATGGCAGGGGAAGGGGCTGCAAAAGGGAAAAGGGAAGGAAAAAAAAAGGGGGGGGGGGGGGGGGGAAGAGCCTGTTCTAATATATACACGGTGTTGGTACAGCCCTCATGTCTGTCAGGTTTCCAGTATAGCCTTGGGTAAGCAAAATCTGCTTTTGACATTGCATGAGAAATCCCAGTTCCTTTCAAGTTACACAAGCCTGAGACAAGGCAACGGAACCAAACTTCTCATTCTCACTGGCAAAAGCTGGGCTCAGATCTGGCTCCAAACTCGGTGATTCATTCCCTTCACAGAGATGTTAACACTACATTTCCTGTTCTCCAAGTGCTAACAAGGATGGCATGTTACCTGTGCTGCTGTAGTCATGATCTTAGACCGGAAAGGCCCCACGGCACAGAGCACTGACAAAAACCAGAAGATAATAAGCACTCCAGAGGACTGAACTCCTCTCAGCCTTTCGTATTGAATAAGCAATGTAGCTAACAGCTGTAAAAGTAAATACAGGAACACGTGAACACAATCCTGTCCCACCGCTCCCTTTAATCACACTCTCAGTTGGCAGCTATTACAGTCATCATCGACAGCAGGACCTCTTTGAAATAAGGCCCCATCATAACTTCACAGAAGTCAACGGCAAAACATCTATCTAAGGAAAGTGGTGAGTAACTTAATGAAATAAATTTTTTACTGTTTTCAGAGCCTCATCTCCAGAATTCAATTTTTAAACCAGGCTTTGTACCTAGGGCTAGGCACAATTAAATATTAGCTACAAACATTTTAAACAAATGTAGGAGCTGTCATTTCTCCAGTCCAGATTGACAATCATGACTTGTCTAGAAAACAAGATTTAAAAAAAAAGATCTGAGTGAATTAAAAACTTAATGGGCAAATTTTACTGTTTCATTTTTTCATACAACAGCCACAAGCCTGTCTGTCATCCCAGGCAAAGCAAATTTGGTTTCTGTTTAATGGAGGAACAACGACCAGATAAAAGACACAGTTTTACAAAGTCCAATACAATGATGAACAATGCACAAGCCATGCTCTAGCATATCTGTTTAGGCAAAGTCATATCCAAATTCTCTCCACACCTGGATCACAAGCCTGGAAAAACAGATGAGAGCAAGGTGGGAAGCAGAACAATCTCTCCATTATAAAGATTTTAATTTAAATAGCTGAATCTACAAGAAAGGGAGATCTGTAACTGCAGCCTTTTTGGTAAGCAGAATTTGCTTCAGTAATACAGTACTAATCATTCAGCTAAAAGAGCACAGGATAAGGCAATGAATGCAAAGGAACCCTTTTCCTCCTTCATCTGTCTAAGAAAGAATTATTCTCATTGGTCACAATAAACAGAAACAGCTACGAACCACAGTGATGCCAACGATCAATGGAGTTACAAAATAGACTGGTGGAGGCGTCCTGTTTTGCAGAAGCTCGTGGAAAGAGTAGAAGAGATCTGCCCAGCTCACGCACCACAGCAGGACACCAAACAGCTGAAAGTAGTCAAACAGAAACAGCATTTGGTAAACTCATCTCTAGGGGCAGAGGGCTAGCAAAACCGTTATGATTCACGGATTCCCAGCAAGACAAAGCTGTGTAAATAGAACAACACTGCTGTGCTGACCAGCTGCAGTCAGGCTAACAGAACTGTCCCACTGCACTCAAACCAAGGATCTCTTCTCAACTGCTTTCCAAGGGATTTGCAAACACGACCAGCAGAAAGGCTAATGTATTTACCTGTTTTTTTCCTGTACTATTCAGTTCTGATTGGAAACACAGGCAGCATCCAGATTAAAGGCAGACATGCCCCGAAGCAGAAGCCTGGAATTTTTCCCCAGGAATAACCCTGGTTCTGTTGTGGCCTATGGCAAGTGACTTGCTTGCTTTCCTTAGACCTAGCTATTTATAACCAGAGGTGCCGCTGACAGCAGCCATCTCTTACGCACAAGATGCAGATGAAATCACATAGCTAATTGGTGGACAGAGTGTCTTGAAAAAATACCTTCTTCTCCTTACTTTCACAATGAGATGCAATTCCCACTAGACCTACCTTACGGTCTTTCTTTGGCAACTTTCAGTGGTTTAAAGCTTAAGTAAGGGTAAGGCAGCACATTTTTGGCTCAACAAAGGAGTAAACTCTTCTGCAGAGCTATCAACTCCTTCCCCTACCCACAAAGATGATGGACTGCACTCATAGTGGATTTCCTTACAGATGAGCTATCCTTTGGTATCCTTCCTCAGAAATCTGTATATACAGTGTTCTTTCCTATAAGCAAGTTCTTCAGTTCCCCCCAAAATCAGAGGGAATTTTGTTTAAACCCTACTGCAGCACTTGCTTAGATACTGAACCTCTGCTAACAAACTCAAAACATTACTCGTGGAGGACTACAAAGAGATCTTACCGTCTTGAACCTGCTCAACATGGAAAGCACGATGTACCCTCTATTGTTGTGCTTCAGGTAGAGAAGATAAAAGGGTAATGCACTCCATAGATAAATGCTAGGGATCCATGCTAGGATGGTATTCTGGAAACACGGTGTCAGATCTGGATTATCAGTGTGTATTGAAAGATTTGAATCCTGGAAAAAAAGATGAGACATTTATTAATAGAGAGGCAGAAACGCTGCCAATCAGAACATCTGCTTGAAGAAGTGGTATCCAAATTCTGCTGGAGTTAGCAAATGGTCTTAGTAAAAAGCTTTCCAAAAATACCTATCCCAACTACTTGTGGTTAATCTGCTGTAGTAAAAGGGCTAAGAACAGCTTTAAGCGCTGGGCAAAACCTAAAAAAATAGACTTCTGCCCTCCTGTATCTCAGATTTGGACATAAGTTCCATAGCAGACAAACCCCTTGTGTGCCCCTAAGGCTTAGTTACAGGTGCTGATACCACAGCATTTCTCGGGCATTCCCAGCCTGGAGCGCAACTGCTAAACAAAGCTCTTGAGGCAAAATCCTTGACTCGAGAACTCATCCAGCAAGAATGTCCAGCCCTGGAGAAAATTATTAGAATTAGATCAACTGTATGCTGACCTGGGAAAACCCCCTACATTTATGACAAAATTTTGTCCTTCTTACTCATATGCCTCCAACTATAATTACTTCCCTATTCTAAACAAAGGTAAAAGGAATGTATTGTACATGGAGGCAGGAATATGGCTTTTCCTGAAGACATTGCAAGCAATGCTTTCCATCTGTGACCTTGGACACCACAATTCACATATACAACTTGTACCTAAGGATTTGAATGCACCACATGCAAACACACAGTTACACAAGTCCAAACTAAAATAGAGATTTCAGTACAGTTAAGGGGAACTTGGTTTTAATCAAACCTACTGGAAATTCACAACTTGTATTTCACCATCTGATGTGTCAGCTTAAATGTGGTAGATAAATACTTACTTGCAGGAAACTTGAAATTACTTTGTTGTACTATCATTAACAGGCAGATGATAAAACTAAGATATCGGTGGTTCAAATATGCCTTATCTCTGCACTAGAATCATTTACTTGTACCTAATTATTTTTAGGTATGAGCTCTCAGTAGAAGTATGTTTCAGTTAAGCTGAGCCACTTCTCCTCACCCCTTATAAATGAATGACTA